TATCTTATGAAGTTATGGTTGGAGATATCAAGAGCAGCTATTGAGGAGCAAGGAAGAAGAAAGAAAAAACTTCATCAACATTTAGTTGTATGAAAAAGTTGTTAAGGCATCTCTCAACCCTAACTGAGGCTCACACATGCAACTTCATTTGGGAAAGGAATTTCTTCCATCAACCGCAGGTTAAGGTCAAGTTGACCACTGCGAAGGATATTTGGAGCACCAAAGTTTAGTTTCTAATGAAAAGTGAAACAGTGTGATGGTGCTCAAGATCCGTCATGGCATATATGGAATGGGTGAACCAGTGAAGACTCGTGTCTCTCCACGTGGACTAGCCACGTGGCACACGGCCACTCTCAACACTAATTCCTCTCACAGCAAGCGGTTGAGCATTGCCAACGATGGAGGAAGTGTGACGAGTGGCAGCTCTGCCTCTTCTTCATCCTCTATGTTTGCTCCCACATCCTTAAGATCATCTAGAATTGTTCGCTCAGCAGCAAGATGATCCTTGAGGTCGTCCCCTTCAGCTATCACCATGCTTCTGTGGAAAAATGCGATGGGATGTTGAAGGGATCTGGTAAGTCTGCTTCATGGCCTCCCACGCTTCATTTGCACTCTTGCACCGTCTAATGCAATGGAATTCTCGCCCCTCAGCACTGTGTGAAATTTGCCCAAAGCTCTCTAGTCCTTGTGGTAATATCTGGAAGTGTTTCCGTTCCTGTGGTGATGTCCCAGAGGCCTCGTTAGGATTCGAATTTTGTCTTCCAGAAGCGCCAGTTCCTCCCATCAAATTTTGGTGGATTTGCGTCTACTGAAACAATATCCGCTGTAGGCACAGTCAGATTTGAGATGGGAGGGGAAATAGGTGGTGGATTTGGAGGCGGATTTGTAGGAACAGTGGCTGCCATCGACACCCAATCCCACCACTCGTTCAAGTCTAGGTCCAGGTTCTTAGTCGTCCAGTGCCTCTTGCAAGGGCTGGAGTATTGGATTAGGGCACGCCTCTGTCTACGTAGACGGAGGCTATGATTCACCCTAGCAAGTGTCGCCCTGATCCCATGGTTTTGAATTCTTCTCGCTCTCCCAGGCATTGCTCTGATACCATCTAATGAAAGGTGAAACCGTGTGATGGTCCGTCATAGCATATATGGAATGGAAATGTACATATGTGTGACACGGTGAACCGGTGAAGCCTCGTGTCTCTCCGCGTGGACTAGCCACGTGGCACAGGGCCAGTTCCTCCCACATATATATGCTAACTCCAGTGATCTGAGCTTGGATAATCTCCACTAAAGGCTTTCCTACATCGGGAGCACTGAAAACCCCAAGGACCAATCCATCTGCTTCCCTGACATGGAGCAATCCAGTGTTTGCTTTCTGTCACACAGTAGGACGTCATAGTTTGCATCATGAAGACACCGAACTGCAGTGGAAAAATATCGGCATAAACAAGAATGTTTTGACTAGTTTACCTTGCCAGTGAGACGTGGTTCCACAGGCACAACTGTCCAGTTTAGCGTTTTCATGTCAAAGAGGAACGTTTCTTGTTTGCCTGACACAAAAACCAGTGAATAGAGCCACAGATAGAAAGAATCTACACACCGCCTACGAAGTGGCATTCATCTCCAACCACAGCATTTCCAAAACATGCCCCCGATGCAAGCATATGAGAACACGGGGACCAGTGCCACTGCAAGAGTTCTACACACGTTAATTCTCCTCTTCCTAAGCTAAGCATGACTTACGTCTTTAGGAACGACCAGCAGCTCTTACAATCTAGAGTCCACAACAGCTGCTTCATGCTGCAAGATTGCTCTTTATAATGTGAACAACAAAAAGCAGAAATCCTTAGCACATCAATGCCACAGAACTTCAATTTAGGGCAGATCTTTTTGAGCTCTGCAATTCTCGGGCATGGGCTGTTGTGTTATTCGGGAGGCTGTCATTCACAACGTTGAAACTCTTGGAATATCCAGAAAGCACTTATATGCTTTAGATGCCCATGATGGGTATATGCCGCAAGAATGAGACCACGATTCTTTCGGGAATGGAACACAGGAACCAACTTTAACACGGTGATGAAAACCCTAGAAGGGAATGACACAAGAGGGTACTGAGATCGTGCGCTTGGGAGCGGGGAGCTTTGCCACAGTTTACGTATGAACAACCTGGCGATCAAGTGCTTGGCAGATGCCAGCCGCTTTTCCGAGCTGCTTGATGAGTTTGAGAATCACCAAAAGATAAGTAAGGCGTGCCAGGGCGCAGAGAATCTCCTCTTTCTGGTGCCCAAGCCTGTCGAATTCTTCCCTTCTCTCGCATCACTGGTGGAGCGCCTGCGAATGGATTCGTTGCTACTGCCAACTATACCCGCCGCGTACACAATGCAGCGTGTCTGGCCCGTCCCCCGGATTTCATCAGGGCCAAGTTCTTCCCTGCACTCCACTCTAGCTACTCCAAGTCCTTCGTCGTGTGGATCTACTTGGGTGCGAAATGCCCACGCCTGGCGTCTCAATTCTTCAATGCCAATAACTTCCCGCTGGATGCCAATCGTTGCAAGGAGCTGGCTGCTGATCGAATCGCTGGCCCAAGAAATGGGTAGGATCCACCACCTCACAGGTGTTTTCAGCTTTGTACTGTTTCATTCATGCGTTACTTTTGCACTTCTTTAATCCAGGACTGGATGGTTGCGACATCGAGTTTGTCGTGGGTGGTGACGAGCTGAGGACCTTCTCCGACCCTAGCTTTGCCTGCTTCGATTTCAACCAGTGCAAGCCTCACAACAACAATGTGAACACACTCATCGACAGCTTCTTTGTCAATGATCCTTACTATCCCCGTCCTGGCATGGAGTTTTGGGACGAGTTCAAGGACGCGTACCTGCTGGAGGCCGACTGGACAGAGTCTGTGCGGCTGGCAAGGATGTTCTTGGACGTGGTTGAAGCCAAGGTGGCAGCCAAGGCCGCCCAAGAAGCTCCAGAAGGCAGGGGTAATGAGATGGCTCTCTTGGAGAGCTGAAAGTAAAACCCTCTTTGTTTGACCCCTCTTATTTAAAAACAAGCAAGAAGCTGTTAGTTGATCTTTCCACGCCAATTTGTCCCCTAAACCCTAAACCGGCTGGAGCCTTATATTGGAGCTGATTTTGGTGCATTTTGTAATGATTTCTTCCAAGGAAAGGACTATCCTACAGCCATCAGATTGTGCAAGGCTTCCATGCATTATCTGCCTGTGGAAGAGAAAACTACCATGAGAGCGTCACTCTCAATCTTAGCTTTTATCACTCGACTCTTAGCGTAAGCAATATATGCGCTCTGCTTTCTCTTTTTCTAATGGTGGTGCGTACAGGACTTCAGTGTTCAATCGACAGAGAGGCAGAAAATGCACTTGTAAGGTAGAACACGAGCTTGATCTAAACTCTGATCTTTCTTCGTGTCTGGCAGCTTGTCAACTTGCTGGTAGTTACCTCAGGGTAGCACTGGACCTGTTCCGCTCCTCCATAATATTTTTCGTTTCTAAAGAAACAGGAAAGGAACACGCCACTGTTGAGAATATTGGTTTCTATTAACTTATATTGATTGCTCTGGGAATGCGGCACATGAAAGAGCTCATTGAGGAGGGAAAGCTGAAGGACCTGTAAGCATCAGCTGCTGATATTCATCAAGCACATTCGATTCATCCTATCACCGTTCAAATTGAGTCATTGCAACTTGCAGGTACAAAGCATCGTTATCATTCATGATATGAAAGTTTTTCTTGCAGGGAGCTCGGGATTGGCAATTGAGATATCATGGCAGCGCCATGGTTTTCTTACTCCGAGATTTCTTACTCTGGACAAATGGATTGCTTGCTTTCGTCAAGAAGAGGAAGTTGTGAAACAATGGCTCGCTAAATCCCTGCACAAGGCTTGCAAATCTGGGAATGTGGTGAGCATCAATACGGAGCTTTTCCTTGTCGTTACTAAGTTTCTCTGGGTGGGCGTCAATACGAAGCTTTTCCTTATCGTTACTAAGTTTCTCAACTCTGGAGCTAAAGGAGAAACACCCTTTCTACGTGATTTCCAGAGTGGCCAGCTCGCTTCAAAAGGAGGTTAGTCTATTCAAGCTTATGCGCTCGTGAAGCTCTTACAGTTTTACATTTTGATGGCTCTCTCTATATGGAGAAAGCGTCGACTACCGTTCTTTTCTTCTCTGGATCAACTTAAGGTTTGATATAAAATCTTTCCTTTCTGTGCTCTAACACTATTAATCTTTGCAGAACGTGGAGGAGTTTTATAACGAAACTTATATCCTTACAAGGTACTACATTACTTGGTGTTCATTTGGGGTTCCTTGCAAGCTGCAATCCTTGCTGTGCCTCACAGGAATCCCAAGGTGGCAGCCACGACTACACGAGCACTTTGTCTTGGCAACTCTATGAGGCCCAACAATTCGCACAAGGTTTGCATTTTTTCCATGAAGTTTGCAACTAACTGCCATTCTCTCCTGCAGTTGTTCGAGTTACTGTCAATGCCAGACATCCCAAGCTAGTTTCTGTAACAACTCATTCATCAGGTGAGACAAATACTTATGGAGAACTCATTTTGCGTGTTGCACTGTGGATCTCTCGCAAGCTCTCTCGCTGCCGATGGTGGAATTTACAACGAGCTCGTGGGAGCATGAGAGCCTAAGTTGCTGTGGAACCCTTCAAGATCTTATCGCACGCTGCATCTAAGGTAATCAAATCTACATTCTCCTCACTCCTTGCTCCAATATTTTCTTCTGAAAAGAGACCGTGCATTAAAAAAACACTGGACCATTTACAATCTGAACCGTCCACTGTATAAAATCTGGAGCTGTTGTGGGAGATGATTGTTATTCTACAGTCAAAAGCTCACAGCGTTGGGAGAGATGAAACTCTTGGAATATCCACAAAGCACTTGTATGCCCATGTGGGGTATATGCCGCAAGAATGAGACCACGATTCTTTCGGGAATGGAACACATGAGCTCCACTGGGGGCATTCAATCCCTAGCCACGAGAGGAGAGCGTTTTTGTCGTAGCCTGTGATCGCGGATTTCATCCGGCATTCCATCGAAGATGTGCCTGCTGCTGGGCGTAGATCGAGATGATAATGCTCCAGGAGAAGCGCTTCTTGCGGAAGAAGAGCTCGCGAAGGCTCACATTGGCGAGGTATTTGTCCTGCTCCAGGCCGATGGATGCAATCTGGGAGTCCTGTGCTAGATCGCGCGCGGCAGTGCAGCAGCTGGAGGAGCGATTCTCTCAGGCATTCCGACGATTTTGGAGTCTAGGGTTTATGGATTCCTGGCGATGAGTCGAGGCTTCGGCTGCCACACCGTTGACAAGATTTATGGCAGCATTGCGCCTGTTGCGATCGGCTGCCATCGCTCACAGGTAGGGCCGCAAGCATCTCTAGCAATCCTCTCACTCTTTGATGGATGACTTCTAGATGGCAGCAGCGCATTGCGAGCGCAGGCTTTTTCACCAGAAGCTCACTCTTTGGTACTCGGCCTTCTCAAAGGGACGAGAAACACGATCTACTGCTCACTGCAAATGTCGCGGAGGCATCCCTGCGACGAGAATTCCCCCAGCAGCACGAGAAGGCGATCGACGACGACAAGATCACTAAACTGCTTGAGATGATCGAATCCAAGCCCGACACCTTCGAGGCTGTGAAGAAATGGATGAGGAGAGGGAACTGTTTGAGCAGCGACGTGCTCTCCACGATTTATTTCTGGCTCATGAAACGCAAGCGCTACACCGAGATCATGAAGGTACGCTGCCATCCATCTTTTTTTCTTTCATAGCTTCTTGTGTTCTTCAAACTTCGATTCCTTTCAGCTGCTAGAAGGCATTCGATGCGAGAGATTGGTGAAGTTCACCGACATGCACTGCGTCTGGGCGATTGGTGTCATCTCCCGGCGGCGAGGAATGGCCAAAGCCGAGCGTTTCTACGACAGCCTTCCAGAGAAGCTGAGGACTGACCGGGTGACAGTCGGGCTGTTTCTTAGTGTCGCGAAAGAGAACGGGCTCGCCAAGGCCGAGCAGTGGCTAGAGAAGATCCAGGTCCACACCACGGACATCCTCGACGTGATGATGGTGCTCTATCTCAACAGGGACAAGCACCACAAGGTGGTGGAGATGTTCGAGAGAATGCGGGGCTTGGGGCTCCAGCCGAGCGTGAGAACTTATCTCATGCTGCTCAAGTGCAAGGACAGGGGTGCCGGTGGATTGAATGCAATCGAGGGAGAAGCTCTTGGAGCTGTGCAGACGATGGATGTGGAGGACCCGCCGCTCAGAACGCTCAACGATGCGATGGAAGTTTATGGCTACGTCGGGAAACAGGATGGTATCGAGGAGCTTTGGAGATCATTGAAGAGAACGAGAAGTGATATCCACCAGTCCAGCTACTTCAGCGCGATCACTGCATTGGGACTGGTTGGCGAGGTCGCCAAGGCTCGAGCACTTTGCAAGGAACTTCTAGCTGGATCGGACGAGTTTACGAAGTTTGAGCAGAATCCACACGCTCTGATGCTAGAAGTTTATGCTCGCAATGGGATGATGGAGAAGGCGGAACGTATCTTGCAAAGCAAGGAGCTGGACCGCGACTCTTTCGCTCCTTACAACAGTTTGATTCAAGGCTACATGGCAGCCAACAACATTTCAGAGGCGCTCAAGAAGCTGGACGATGGTCTTGCAGCTGTGCCTGCGAAAAGCATCAGGCTGCAGTACAAGACGATGATGGTGCTGCTGCCAGTCTACGCAGCAAACGGCGACGTAGAGGGTGCCAAGGAGCTGATGCGGAGGTACACGAAGCTAGGTGATGCCGGAGTGTACAACGAGTTCCTCAAGGTCTACATCTCTCGCAAGCGCCACCCCAGAGAGTTCATGGAAAGGATGCAAGCGAACGGTGTCGAGGGGAACAGGGAAACGGAGAAGCTGCTGGAGGAGCTCGACATGTCGCCAGAAGGGGTCTTCAAGAGGCAAATGGAGCAGCAGGGTATATGGTTTTAGAATGGCTCGCTGGTTGTCACTCCTGCGGCAAAGGAGCCAGTGGGTGCGCGCATTTTCCAGCGAGAGCAGCGGCAGCAGCAGCGTCTCTAGGCATGCTCAGGTGCTCCCGGTGTGGCCGGTTGGAACGGAGACGAGATTCTCACAGATGATGTATGTCGGAGAAGCGGGTAAGAGCATTGATTCTTACAAGAGCGAGGACGTCTCGGACTTCTGCGAGATGCTGCTGTCCAAGCCTGATATCTTTCAGGGCCTCAAAGAGTGGGTTCGTGAGGGTAACACCTTCTCAAGCTCCTTGTTGTCCAAAGTCTACTATCGATTGGCGAAGAGGAAGTAAGAGATTCTACAGGTAAAACACTCATTTTTTTTTTCGCCTGGTGTGCTGACTGCTTCGTGCACAGCTGCTGAGGTATCAGGGAGGAAAACATGGCCCAGACTACACAAACACACTACATTTGGGAGATGGATATAACTTGTCGGCAGCAATCTACGTACGCAGCAGAAATCTTTTACAACGATATTATTCCAGCCCGTTTCAGATCCGAGGTAACAGCAGCGCTAATCTTCAGCCTTGCAAAGAGAAATGCGCTCGCCAAGTCCGAGAAGTGGATCGAACAGATGACGGTGCTGTCTACAGATCTCCTCAACATGCTCATGGCGTTGTATTTCGACCGGGACAAGCACGACAAGGTTCTGGAAACGTACGAAAGAATGTCCAAGCTCGGGCTGGAGCCGAGCATCAACACTTACTTGATGCTGCTCACTTACAAGGACAAGGCCGCTGGTGGCCTGGAAGGAATCGAGGGAGAAGCAGAGGAAGAGTCGATCTAGAGTTGCATAGCCTTGCTGCTCGCTGTGTGGTCTTGTTTTGCCCATGAGATCATCGTTTGCTCCGATACCATATTAGTTTTCTAGTTAAACGAGATACTTTGTTTCCACCACTTTGTCATTTTCTCCATGTATATATATATTTTCTCTTGCCACCTTGGATTAGACTCCAGGCTGGCTATCTACATGCTGGCGTCGGCCATAGCCTCTGTCGCTGGGATGGTCTTCCTCATGCTGTCTATGATTAGTCTCATCGAGCTGAGGTCGGGAGCTTTTAGTAGTGATAGCAGCTGGACGGAACGCGCTGGAATTCCCCTCAAAGTTTTGTCTCCTCGTCTTCATCTCATCTGTTCTCTTTGCTTTCATCGAACTCTAATGCGAATTCTACAAAACTTTTGGAAAAGAAAGCCTGTACTTGCCTGCTTCCCTGTGTTCCAGAAAACTAGCCCGAGAGTTCTCCGTCTTTCACGTCATTCATCAAACTTGGCGGCTGGACTTCCATACCTTTCCATAGTAAGTCTGCCTGCCCTGGTAGATCTCCCAGGAAATCGTACATCTTTGCCCTGCTCTTCGTCCTTGATTTCCTCTTCTCGAAACGTCTTACCAGTTTGCTCGACCAACTCTTCCGCCCTGATTCAACAGGCGAAGCAGCACGCTTGACGGGCTTCGGCTCTTCTTCTACAATGGAAAACCTGTCTTTATCGGATGACTGCACAACCCTGATCTCTGGAAACTCCAATACTGTCTTGAAAAAAAGCTGCTGGTCGTAGTACGATTCTTTGGCCTGATGGTTACCAGAATTAGCAACCGGATACAAAACACACACATACAAGTGTTCTTACATCATCGAGCTCAGAAGCTTCAGCTGATCTACTGGTTGCCGCAAAAACTCCCGCAATTGGTGTTGAATGGCCGGACTGTGTGCGACTGGGGTGATAAATGTTTCTCAAGCACAGTACCAAGGTTGAAATGCTCGTCCAAACTGGAAAAGATAGAGGAATTGTGTCAGTCAATACACTTGAAGAGTCGAGCAGGGATGAACATACTTCTCATCAACAAGGCAAATGTCAGTGGAATGAAAGATCCATTCAACTCTCTAGTACATGCACTTCTGCCTAGAATGCATTTAAACCTTTAGCAAAGAACAAATCTGGAGAGCTTACTTCCTATTGAAGTACATGGTATTAACTATCCTTCTCAATGTTCCATTTGCCATGTGAATAAACTTGGTTTTGCGAAAGTGAGCCTGGTAGATTAGCCCCCTCCCCCTTGAGGAACACATGCTTTGGGCTTTCACCCCACACTTCTTTTAGTACTAGGAGTTAGTCTTTAAGACAAGCTTAAAACTTATTAAATATGGAATATCCCTATATTGCAAATTTGGATACGGGACAAACACCATTGTATTCAAGACAATCTCTACATTCTGTAGATATGCCAAATGAGCAAATCTAGACACTTTCCATAAATAACATTTGGGACCGGAATGAGACTAACACAAAGGGCATGATAGCGAAAGTGTTTAGCAGACACGGTAAGCTATCATTCAACATTATTGAGGGACTAATTTTAATACGCAAGGGTTCTTATCAAGCTAGTGCAAGATAAAGTAAAAAATAACTAAAAAGCCAGGCCAAGTATGCTTAACTAAATAAACATTTAGGAATTCTTTCCTTATATTCATCCAACCAAGTACAAATGCTAAGCCCAATTTACTAACATTTGAATAAGAAGGATTGATAAAGGGTCCAGCAATACTGACCTTTTGTCGTCATGGCAGTAAGGAAAGAGTGTCCATAAAGACTGGCCGATAAGTAACTTTTGATACCCAAAGTCACATTCACAACAACTTGAGTGTGCTTGGTTAGTGTTATCCTATTGCATATATCAACTATATATTACAACTAACAAAGGTGAACTACTCCATGATAAAAGAGTGTTTAATAATAGTTTGCGGTTTCGAAAAACTTCATGTAAATCTACATTGTTCTCAGACATTACTAAAAGGTGATCATACTATAATTACTTCATTATCAAAGCGGAAGAACTTAGTTGGCCTTACTACTTAGTGTGCTTTGAAACTTTAGATATATGATTTTGATATTATTTATTGCCCAGGGAGTTTTATGGTTAATGTTAATGCCCTTTCTCAAGCTTCTCTTCCTTCTTCACTTTTTTTTTCATATTTTTGATAAATTTATTGTTCTAGCATTTGTGAATTTTTTAGACAAGGATTCCATGCTATTGATGGTTGTTATAATTGATGTTCAATATCTATAAGGCACAAAACAAGATTTACTTTCTCTTGATAAAGTTTGTGAAGCTCAAAAGATTGAACCGTGGATTCAAAAACTTCGGGATAGGTTTAAGAATCTTGCATCACGTACTGATAACTTGCTATTTTAGCATTTACAGTCTCAATATTGCCTTGAGGATAATCTTTTCTATTTTGTGGGGATGGTGTAAGCGATTAATTTTTCCATTTTACTTTAGTCACTTAGCCGCACCTCCGACCACTTGGAGAAGTCTCATTCACAACCTCTATAAGTCTCAGTTAGGACTTGGGGCTTGCTAGCCCCGAGAATGGCATCCATGCCACTCAACCTTTGCACTTGGTCCAAGTGCTCCACGTGTCCAATCCCATGATCGACACCCCAAGGTACCAACGACATATCGGCCCGTTACGCTAAGGCCATGCCCATTCACCTTGGTTACACCAGTGGTCTAATGCCACCTGCATCATAGTCCCGTCTCTCAAAGACTAAGCCATCCGTCCGTGAATGATCATCCCAAATCTACTCCTTAGCATCCTTAGGATGCCTATAAACATGGGGAATAGCCTTCCCTGACAACTCTTTTCTAGTCCCCACCAAGTCCCTTTTTGTCTATGGCCGTGTTCGCCAACACTACCACTAGATCAAGGCCTGCAGGCCCAACCTCTAAGTCCCACTATCCTTTGGGACTTCCTCACCATGTGACCATATCTTTGGTCATTACACTAGAGGACTGCTCCTCTTCCCTTTCACCGTTTGGGACTTTGGGACAACATTTCGGAACACCGTGGCCTTACGCAAGTCTCATGGGTACTCTCCCCGCCTTTCGCCTTTAGGTGCTCTAGCCATGGGCTTAGAGCGAGGTTTCGTTGAGCCACGCCAGGTATCCAAGTAGGTAGTGCCACCCACATTTGGACTGGGAGCATCAGCTAATTGATCTCCCGAGGGAACTAGAGCCGGCTCTTGAACACTTCACCAAGCTACCTTGCTTGTCTGTCCATGTTCACTCTAGTCTTGGACTTCTCAGTGGGCAGCTCATCACCCAACACTGGGTACAGCCTTCCTGGGCCAAATTGGCCTTTGCTGGCCAAACTAGCTCCATTGCAGTCTTCCCCCTACTATACTTTTGGAGCTCACTAAACCCCCCAGGGTCTGGGAGACAAACGCTTTGGGCTTTCACCCTCTCAGACTCAAACTTGAACTCGGACTCAAACTCAGACTCGGACTCAAACTCGGCCTTGGTCTCGGTCTCGGTCCCGATCTTGGTCCCGGTCTCGGTCTCAGTCCCGGTCTCGGTCTCGACCTCGGACTCCACCTCGGGTCCTTCTCGGACTCCATTTCGGGTCCATCTCAGACTCCTTCCCATGTCCACCTCAGACTCCAACTTGGGTCCATCTCGGACTCTATCTCAGACTCCACTTCGAACTCCAACTTGGGTCCATCTCGAACTCTATCTCGGGTCCATCTCGGGCCTGTCTTAGACACTTCCACATGTCATGTGTTGGTCCCTTTGGGTCCCTTTTTGGAGCCTCGCTTTTTGCTCACTTCGTGCTTGTTCCTTGAGCACTTTGTTGGGAGTTCCACTCCCACTCCCAACCTTTCAAGTCGGAGCTTTTAATCCAAACATGTTACGCTCGTTTGGTTTTTGCTTTGGCCACTACTACATAGCACCCTTCTGGCTCCACTTTGGGGCCTAGGGATTTTGTGTTTCACAAACAGATTTTAATGATCATTTATGACTAGTGGTGCCTTTGGTCTTTATTCTATGTTCTCTCCATGCCTACCATGATTCTCTTATTCTAGGCAGACATATGGGACATTGTTATGTGACTGAAGAGTTACATAGGTTTTTCTATTGGCTGAAAATGTGATATGATGTTATTATAGTGCATGTGATCATGGGATGAAATTTAGATATATTGTCATCGTGGATCCTTAGAACTTTGGGAGATAAATGGGGCACTAAAGGCTCTCTTATCAAGTAATTGCCCCTTTTCCAATTGGCTAAGGGGAGAGAAATAGGGTGCATTACATGTAGTATCAAAGAAAATGGCAAAGGTTCAATTCTCATTGATTAGTGGCTACTTAAAAAATATAATATACCCTTGAACAAGGTATATTCTTACCCCTAAATTTGAAATCATATGTATTGGGCATCCATACATCCTTCCTCTTGTGAAGTATTCCACACGAAGGTATCGACCATGGGACTATAGTATGGGTGAATGACTAGTTGCTTCACATAGAATAATCTACACAATGGAAAGATTAGTAGATTCAATGCAAAAATGAAGGTGTTAGTTCCCTTTGGCTTAGTAAAGGTTGTTAATCAATAGTCAATGAGGATATTAACATCTCTAAAGGGGGGTAAGTGTAATATTAACATCTCTAAAGGGGGGTAAGTGTAACACATGTGATCATGGGATGAGATTTAAATATACTGTCACTATGGATCCTTGGAACTTTGGGGGTTAAATTAGGATAAAATAGCCACTAAGGGCTCTCTCATCAAGTAATTGCCCCTTTTCTAATTAGTTTAAGGGAAGAGAAATAGGGTGCACTACAATTATTCAATATGTGTATACCTCTGTTTGATACCAAGTTCATAATACTCCTCCTCGTGCTACAGAAGGACAATTGAAGTTAATTGCAATTTCCTATTTATTTGAGTTGATAGCATTTAATTTGATGGGGCCTTTTCTATGGTCAACTACTAGCAATGAGTATGTCATTATTGCTTCTGACTACTTAACTCTCTGGGTGAAAGTCGGTGCTCTTGCTAGTACATCTATAACTACTATTGGATAATTCTTCCTCAATTGAGTGGTATTCCAACATTCATGTCCGAAGCAAATTCTTTTGGATAATAGTCTTACATTTAT